ATAAGTGTTAAATCCACTCTGTGCCTATTTCTTGGGGTTAAATCCAGTGTGTATCCATTTATAAGTGTTAAATCCAATTCTTCGTCTAATTATAAGCGTTAAATCCAGTGTGCTTCCATTTATAAGCATTAAATCTAATTCTACGTCTAATTGTAAGAGTTAAATCCAATTCTACGTCTAATTATAAGCGTTAAATAAAGTGTGCGTCCATTTATAAGTGTTAAAACCAATTCTACGTCTAATTATAAGCATTAAATCCAATTCTACGTCTAATTTTAAGCATTAAATAAAGTGTGCGTCCATTTATAAGCGTTAAATCCAATTCTACGTCTAATTATAAGCGTTAAATCTAGTGTGTGCCCATTTATAAGCGTTAAATGCAATTCCACATTCTACATTCTAATTATAAGCATTAAATCCAATATCCACCCAGTCGTCTGTGCAAGTCATTTAGATAAGACACCAACCATTGAAATCCATTAGTTTGGACAATTATTATTGAATAATCAAACAAAAAATAAATTTACTAGTATTGTTTTAATAAAACGATCAATAAAAATAGTCGTTTTTCCGTATCAGATTTCAGAAGTAAACGTGGCCTGTAAGAAAGACTCAGGCAAAGGCAAGTCTACTCAATTGCATATCCTGTCAAAAGTGAAATTTTACAGCACAAACTTCCTTTTCATCTTCATCTTGACACCATAGCTGAAAACTATAAAACAACAAAGCGTACATCCTTCCTTAATATGGTCCCCTGCGCATTCAGGGAAAAAGGACTCTAGGCCATCACGATTTAATATTTGATGAAAGTGCATGTCCTTCCTCTTGCACGGTAGCCATTGAGTAAGCTTCATGGACCATATCCCGCAATCAATCTTCCAGCATCAAACGTTTTCATAAAAAAAATCGGCCGCCAAATTAGTAGTTTCGCTAAAAAATTGGCGGGTGTTTCGGAAATAGTTGGCTATTTGCTGCATCGTGGGAATTTCACTGTCGGCTTGAGACTGTGGTGTATTTGAGGATAGTGTTCAAGAGTTGGTATTGTCCGCGGTATCATTGGCGCCAATATGTGAAAAGGAACAAATTTTTTGTTACTTATAGAATTAAATTATTGTTTTGTTGAGGGTTTTTGACAAAAGATTTAATATATATGAAACTGAAAAATATTGTAAGGCTGTTTGTGCAATTTACTTTTTTAAAAGTTCGTTCATTTTCTTTTATACTTCCGTGCATGTATATATTGAGAAATTATTAAAATCGTTAAAAATTTGGCCCGCATATTTTGATGAATTTCTATGTTTTATACACCCAGAAGTTTGAAACTACATTTGTGTTTATTTCTGTCAGTGTCTACGGCTACAATGGACGAGTTTTCTATTTTGTATAATTTAACGTGCAACAGGCCCCATACACGGCGAATCTTCAGTGGAATCAGGTTTCGAGCCTGGACCCTCCGCTCCCAAAGCCGAAACCCTACCACTGGGCCTCCGCGGCGTCTGCGCGAACAGGAAAACTTAAAACGCAACGAGTTGGATATACGAAATTTGACATGCGCCTGTAACATGAATAATGTACAGATCTGAATTAAATTTTGTAACAAATGGATCTACGAAGACAGTACATATTTGATTTTTCTTCTTTCCATGCTACGGAAATTCAGACATATTCTTCATTTGCCTCAATGATGTCAGTTTGATTGACTTTCTCCGTTTTCCTCTGGTGTCCACAATATTTTTAAGAATCCGTTTTTAATTATAGTTAATATAACATACCCAGAAATAAACGAATGTGATATTTTTGCTGCACTGGCGGGCAACGCATGTGTGAGAGTCAACGTTATAACAAAATAACAGTTTTTCTACTTGTGTGAGTAGATATACAATGATAAATTAATACATTTAAATTGTAAATAACATCTTCATTCAGACATGAATGGCAACGCGTATGCTGAAGTAAATATGGCTAATCTTCGTAAATATGACTAATCTTCGTAAATATGGTTAATCTTCATAAATATGGCATTTGTTTATTTTCATTTTATAATGAAGAAGATGCAGATTGCGAAAAGGAAATGACTTATTTCCTTAACGGAGTATGTCCAAAATTTAATATAGCTATTCCATTTTGGTTTAAAAGCAACATAATAAATTTCTTTCATCTATTACATATATATATATTTCTGTTACCCTGCTCACATACACACGGATATAATTCCGAAATGGTGTTTTTCTTGTTAAGAGATGTCTAAAACTTGTAGATATGCGTGAAAAACTCGAGGTCGATGTTTCCTTTTACGAGATTACAATACTTATACTTATACTATATACAGGAAAACAAAAAATTCACCGAGTTTCATTTCAAATATATAAATGCATAAAACCCATTTATTAAATAATACATATTCGATTACATAAACAAAAATCTATTTGTTCAAACGAAATCCCAAGAAATTAAAAATATACGAGAAATCATTTTTCGGCAACTAATTCTTTTACTCAAGCCTTAAAATAATCCTACTATAAAAATTCAGCGCAGCTGCGGCGAGAATTAGGTAAACTTAAAGTTTTAAACTACCATCAATCATCTTTTTTTGGATGAAACAATTTTTTAAAAATATGCATAGCTTTTTTATGTTCCTTAAACTGCTTGGATCCTTTTTATATGCATGAAAAACTACCCCCATTCCCCATAAAAAGTTCAACAACCTTTTCGATACTACTTTTTTGTCATCATTATTATTGGATCGGAAATAGCCTTCGTAATTTTTTTTCTTTGGTGAGAGTTATCCTTTCAAAAAAGATCGATTATGTATTAATCTTAGTTCAATTTTTGGATATAAAGTTTTCAAATATGCTGCAAGAATTGATTTAAAAATAATTGAGGAAAATCGCCTCAATCCTTGCTGAGATCAAAGGGAATAGAATTTTATTGGTAAAAATTGGACAGAGAGTTTTCATTTATTCATAGTAATATCCTTTTCCAGAATGTATGCATTAGCGAATACATTTTTTATAAAATTCTCTTTTAAATAAAAATCTAAGAAAAAAGTTGATGTTTTAAAAGGATAAAAAATGACTTAAGGGGTTATCCGTACCAATGATTCAAAAAGATAATGATAAGATAATTGGTAAGATAATCTCCATCTACTTATTATTTTATGTAATCATTCCATATGAATGATTCGAAAGCAATTTTTCCCTTCAAGTAAAAATTTTAAAAAATGTTTTCCTGTTTGGAAAATTTTATATATTTATAACCTAAATATCTGATAAAAATAATTTTAAATTATTCTCTATATTGTTAGATGTATATTTCTTGCACAACTATTAGTTAACTTTACTAGCGCGAGAGAAAAATGTACATCAAACATATGGTAAAACTGAAACTACAGGTAAATTTGGAAAATGCTCCAAATTAAGCGCGTCTTAATAGAATACTGTTTTAATGCTTAAAGTAATTTACAAAACCATTGGTGAAAAAACAATGAGTATTTTTAAGTGAGTAAAGTTTTATCACATTTTCATTTTTATTATTTTAATTAAGGAGCACATTAAACATAGGCTTGCGTTTCAATGTTGCTTGACTAAACCCTATCAGGACAAGATATTTTACGATATCTCCATGATGTTGCTATGATAATCTGAATGCCGCATAACATTGTGTATTATTGTATGAGTATTACTGTAGACTATTTTGTGCTAATAGGGAATAAACGTAAGTGCATGTAACATAGTTTTCTTTTCAATTGAAAAGTAATAACAAATTTTTTCACAAACTAATAAACTATGAAAAACCTATTAGTTTGTTAATATTAGTAATAGATGTATCAATGTTATAGAGTTTCTTGACATAGATTCATAATATTTTTTCATTCAGTTTCCAACATTTCTCATTATTCTTTCTGTAATATGTTGCGAGGGTTAGCACGATTTTTGTTCACTTCAGTATATTATTTCCCAATGGTATAGAGAGTTCTTGTGGTATAGAGAGTTCTTGATTCATTTCTAATGGTATAGACAGACCTTCCATACGTTTCCCAGGATATAGAGTGTTCTGTAAGATAGATGAAATGTAAGAGAAGCTTTTTAAGTTTGAAGCCTTAAAAAATTATGCTGCGTGTTGAAACATTATTCTTTTTATATTACTGTGAAAATATATTTATTTACGACATTTTGCACATTTTAAATCTGCCTCTCAAGCATTACCGACAACTACTGCATAAGTCAAAGTAATTTCGAAAATTGTTATTAGCAGACTTCTTCGTAGATTAATCATATCCCACAGCGTCATATAAACTTCAAGTCTCTGAAATTTGAGCAGGGTTTCTGGTTGTGCTACAAATAAAACTGGATCGAGTCGCAAGACTTTTTCTCGAATGCTTTTACAAATTTCGTGGACGGAGGATCCTAGGAAGGACAGCATCAGAATTCCGATCAAATCATGAAGAAACTCAAAGAATAATCCTACGAGGACGAATCTTTGATTGTCCTCAAACATGGAGTCAAATACATATCTGAATGTGTGAGAAAACAGAATCATGAACAGAACAAATGCTTTGAAGTTCAACTTTCTGTCGATCTTCTTGATGTTCTTGGTAAGTACTCTGTACAGTGTTTCTAAACCTTTTCCATCTTGATTGTTTAGTATTTTCAGATGTTCTTTGCATGTCTGGTAGATTACAAAGCACACCAGGGAATATAATAGATTGAAAACTTCGAAATACCCCAATATAATCGCTTTCTTTATGAAAACAACAAAGAAGCTGAAGATGCACAAAACCTTTCGATGGGCAATAGCTTTCTCGAGCCAATAAACAACCGCAAACTCTTCCTCAGAATATTTATAATACACAACAAAATAGGAATAAATAGCGGAGTACAGGACATGATGTATGCTGGCCCACACTAGAAACTTCTTCAGTCTGTTTTCCCAGGTATAGATGCTGCTGACAATACAGAGGCGAGATCCCATTGCGTCCAAAAGTTTGAAAACATCCAAAATATCTTGGCGAGATTTCTGAAAGAGCCAGAAGAAATAAATTAGAGCCAAACATTCAATACTTTCCGCAGCAGCATCGTAATGTGCTTGATTTGATGAACTTTTTTCTTTGATGAAAATGAATGCATTTGTTCCCAGAGTATAAAGAAAAATAAAAACTGCCGCAACCCTGGATATTTGGTGACAAATAACACCAATATAAGACATTTGTCTCAACTGGCCGCCATGCAGGGTATTAATTCCTATAAAATAAATCATAAGTTGTATAATTTTAAATGTACGTGAAATTTTCGCTTTCTTTTGGCCTCGTCGGTTTTGCCTTTTAAAGATGTGAACTTTATTGGATTTTAAATCGAACATCGTGTCAATAACAGCAAACATTGATCAAAATGTTATGAAGTTAGCCCTACTTTACAAGTTCTATAGGAGCAAAATTATTTTACCGATATACTTCACAATACAGACTTTTTACCGGTATACTTTTTACGTTCTATAAGAGCAAAATTCTTTTACCGATATACTTTAGAATACAGAATTTTTATCGATACACTTTTTACGTTTTATAAGAGCAAAATTCTTTTACTGATATATATTATATGCCTGTGGACTTTGCACACGGCGGTTGTTTTAATACAAAAGAGGATGCTCGTCTAAATGTTTACGCTTTCAAATAGATTTATTTTTGACAAGCCGTCGTGTCACGCATGAGCATGATTATTGATGTATTATTTTAGAAGAAGTTTTACTCTATATTCTTATATTTACTGTTCATTTTGGATGTGAATGTTGTTATAAAGAAGTAAAACAACTAATAATTCCAAAATAAGCTAAGCTAATAATAATATTTCGTTCCACATAGGAGAACATATTGCAGAAATCAAAAATTACTCAGAAAATATGGGGCGCTCTGCTGACACATGTGTTATTTAGAATTGATTTTCGCCTATTTCCTGAAAAATAATGAATATAAAACTATGTTTGAGTGGATGTCACTCTATAATTGAAAATCTGCTGCTAACGCAAAAAGTTGTTGAAATTATTTTCAAATGTTCTTTCTAGTTCTGGCACCGGATAAAAAATGAATGTGTTCTTTTATATCACAGCTTTAAATCTGTGATTGTTAGTGTTGCAATAAAAGTAGCGCTTGCCAAATCATTTGAGGATATATCGTGCAGTGATTTTTTCCAGAGAAATATGAGTCAGTGTAGGGAAAGCTACCATTCCACTAGCTTCACGACATGCTACAATTAGGTACCTTGCTGTAGATGATCCCTAGTCGCTACTTATAATTTTCAAAAGTAGGTAGATTGATTATCATTCTCTTAAAAGCAAGAAAAATATTCAGTAAATCATCCTTTGCACCTAAAAGCTGATTTGTAGTTACCTAACTGTCGTCTTCATCCGTGCATAATGATAACATTTGTAATAATTTTCTGTCAGATACTTTTAGCTTGCTGAAAAGTATTTGGTGTTTTGATAACTTTGACTCTACTTC